ATCACTGTGAAGCTTCAGGGCACAGAGGATTAATTGAAGACCCTAAAAACTTACAGGTAGAAAATAATAATAGTAGGTCACCCAGGAAGGAACAAAAGTCAGACTGGCATAGAGGTAACATTGGTTGTTAGAAGTCAATGAAACAATGCATTCAAATTCTGTGAAAAATTAATATCAACCTCAAATGCTAATTCCAACCAAGCTATCAAATGTGAAGTCAAATTAAAAAGGAGATTCAGACAGGCAAGGGCTCGCAAACTTGTCTTCTATCTCCCTTTTCTGGGAGGTTACATGAAAACAAAACTCCAGTTTGCTTATTTTTAAAGAGTGAACTAAGAAGAAAACAAGGATCTGGGTAAAGGTGGATGTAGTGAGAGCCTCCCAAGATGACAGCTCTGGCAGAAGACTGAGAGCAAGCAGGAAGAGAGATTTCCTGCAGAGAGAGGTTATAGGGAAAAAAAAAAGGACTCCTGCACAGAGAGCTGAGAGTTTGGAAAAATTAGGGAACATGATAAAAGTACTAAGTGCAAGGAATAAATGAAAAGAACTAGAAACTACTGAATGAGAGAAACTTCTTATAGAGGCAGCATATTGCAGTGCTTAGGAATAAAGTCTCTGGAGCTAGAAGATGTGGGTCTGAATCCTAATCCTGCCATTTATCAGCTGTGTGACCTTGAGCAAGTGGCTCAACCTCTCTGTGCTCATTTTCTCATCTCTCAACTGGAGATAATAATAAGACTAACTTAAAGAACAACTGTAAGGAAGTAAATGAGTTAATTTTGTAATACTCTTAGGAGAGAACCTGTCACTTGGTAAGCACCATATAAAGTTTGTTAAATAAATAAGAAAATCGAAGTGCTATATGAAAATCATGGTCATCCAAATAAGATAAATAGATCCCAATTAAAACAAGTCAATGGGCTTAAAAATAAAGACTGTGATAGTTTCCAAGTGGTAGACTAAAGTAAAAGCTTAAGGACATTATGTGTGTGTGTTGTGGGAACGGAGGGCAGGGGAGAAAGGACAGGCAGGGAATGGGACGCACAAATTTTTCCTGCTAACAAGGAAAAGTAAAGGCAAACATAACTTCCAGGAAGAACACACCTCTCCCCAAGAAAAACTCTCTATATAAGAAAGGCAGAGTCTGAATAAAGAACAAACTAAAACAGGATAAGATTATACATAAATGGCAGAGTATGAAAAAGGAGGATGCATTAGCATATGATGCTCTGTGAGAATCAGCTAGTTTCTCCTTTATCAGTAACTCCATAGGATAAGGTGCAAAGAAGATACGTAAGTAGTTGGCTTTAGTCATGAGTCAGCACTTCCTAGTTGATTTTCTAGAAAATAGGCACGTGAAGCACTTGGATAAAATTTTTCAAAAATTAATTTAAATCTAACCAAAAGTCACTTCCTCTCTGCACAAAATGTGCTCTCCATCCAAGAAGCCATTTTAAATCCTGTCCTTTTTCAAACTGAAAGATAAGAAAGAAAAGGAATAAGCAAACTATGGTTCCAAGTAACTGTGCCAGGATAATCTAGAATTCTGACAATTGCTGCTTTCGTTAGAAATGGGGCAATCAAAGCACAGGTTGGCCAAGAGGGAGGCTTCATGTGACTAACTGTACCACGTTCCCTCGCCTGAGTTAGACGGGTTACGCAGTTTGGGTGAACATTTCATTGCTCAACTCTCCCTCCAGAACTCGTGGCCTTTTGCCTTGAATGACCCTCCATGTGTACAGGGATGGGTATGCTGGTGTGTATTTGGGGGGGTTTCTGCATCCCACGGCCAGACCAAGATTCTTCAAACTGAGAGCTGGACCTCCAGGAAAGCCTTCCCTCAGACATTCCTCGGGTCCATGAAGGATTCATCACTGGCTCCTCTGTACTAACCAGCCCACATGGAACTCCATCACGGCACATTTCACAGAGCCTTGTCGCTGCGTCATTTCATATGCCCCTATCTCCTCTACTGGTTGGTGAGCCCTTCAAGCAAAAGACCAACCACGACACACTCATCAGTGTACCCTCGTGCCTAGAACATTTATTTGCACAATAAGTAGGAGACAGGGACAGGGACAGGGACAGAGAAAGAGACAGACAGGCAAAGACAGAGATTTTGAGTCCTACTCTCTTGCCCTGTGGTACTTTCCCTTCATTTGGGTTTTCTCATCACTAAGCATTTTTGGAATTTATGAACCTATCTTCTAAGGATAACAACATAAAAATTACCAAAAGCTGTGACAGTAGAGGTTCTGATTGGAAACCCACCTATGTGACCTCCCCCACCTCCCCTGGCCACACACACTCCCTGGGTGATTTTGTCCCCCCCTGGAGGCTTCAGCGATACTGTTGACCCACAGATCGCTATCTCCAGTCCTGACCTTGCCTCTCAGCTCCAGACCGAACATCCAGCTACCTTCTGCAAACCTCCATTTGGACTGTCCACCATGCACTTCAGCTCAGCCAGGCTGACGATGACCTCCTAAATGGCCTCCCTGCCTCCAGCCCCATCCCATGACTACCCTGGAACAGGGCTGCAGATGTGACATGGCACTGCCTGCTTAAGGCCCCTCAATGCCAACAGCCCCCATTACCATTACTTGTAGGATAAAGTCCAAGGTCTTTAGAAAAGCAAGTGAGGCCCCCCCGTCATGAGCACCCTGCTCCTTTCTCCTCCACTGTCACCTCCCACTCTTCCCTTCTTTCAATCCCACCACCCAGTTCTCACCTCCGTGCCTGGCTAGCTTAGACCTCTTTCGAGACTCTGCATAAGATTCACTTTCTCTTGGAGGCATTTTTCTGAATTGCTTCTAAACTCTCTACCCCACCCCTCCAAGCTGAGTTCCAAGCCGTCCTCTCTTCTGCACAATGCCTGGTGGTGAACAGCAAGCGCTCTGTGGTCACGATCGGACGAACTCCCAACGTACAGCCAAGGAACTAAAGCTCAGAGAAGTTAGGGAACCTGCTCGACGTCACACGTACTCTAAGCGGCAGATGTGACCAGAACTTTGGACTCCACATCCAGGTCCCCTGCTTAGATGGTAAGATTTTCTGTAATTTCGCCCTTGCAGCAGAAACTTCCTATTTCACATCCCCTGTCCATTGCTTCCTGTCTTGTTACCACATGAGCTCTGTGACGGGCCCAGTACAGGGCCCGGCAGCAGAGGCTCGACGGATGCCTTTCCTTAACCGCCTCCCTTGTAACCATGGCCATTGCCCTGCACCTTGGCCCGGAGGCTGGGCCTGGAAACCTGGTGGCCATGGGCTCCAGCCCCCAGGTCTGCAGAATGGGACTTGGCCACGGAGAATGGCAGCCTCAGACCACCTCATGATGGCCAGCCTGCCCGCCTACCCACAGGCCGAGCGGCTCACTTACCGGGACCTCCTGCCCTTCCCCTCCTCCAGAGAGGACGGCTCCGCTCGCTCCAGGCTCAGCTGCCACTAACTGCCTGCCCTGCTTAAGATTCCTGGCCTCCCATTGGGCCCCGTCTCTGCCAATCCACTGGGAAATATCAATAGAGCTTGCGGTCCTCCAGCATCGCCGGGGCCAGGCCTTCCTCAGCAGTCTTCTTCATTCATTTAACCGGAGCCTCTGGATTCATCTGAGGAAGAATCTCTCACGCTGCCTGGCCCTGCACTAGGCCTCTCGGTCCACACTCTGACCAGAGTCTCTCTCCACACTGAGCTCTTTGAGAGAGAGAGACCAAGTGTTACTGTTATTCTACATCCCCAAGCTTTAGGACAGGCCACAGTCAGGACAAATAAGTCTTCAGGCTTTATCACTTCCTCCCTGGATGATTCCAAAAGCCTTTCCTTGAGCTGTTCCAAGTCTCTTCTCCACAGGAAAGGATCTCAGGCTTAAAATCTATGGGGTAGAGCAAGTTGTATGAAGTTGCTGAACTTAGGCGAGGAGAGGGCGAGATGAACATGCTGTGAGAAAAGAACCAGGATGTAGGTGGACCACTGCCAGGGATGCTTCAGCAAAATATCCCCCGAGACTACAGAGGCTCAGGGAGCCAGATTCACAAGCAGAACCTGGAAGCTGGCACGAGGGCGGCGTGGCGCTGGCCCTCGGGCTGCTGAACATGGGGTCTAGGGAGACCCTAAAAGAGCAGAGAGCAAAGCACTAAGTACAGTCACAGATACAGCCTGAAGGGCCCAGCTGAGGCTTGGGGACCAGGCACAGGGCAGTGACAAAAGGGGCCAATGGGTACAGGAGGAAGAGGCAGAATCTTCAGGAGGGTTTGAGGGGTTCAGGGGCAGCCGCAAGGGCTCTTATTAAATAAACGTGACAGTCCGTTAAGGGCAAACAAATGGCATGAACCTGATATGAACATTTTCCTGTTGGCACTAGGGAGCCATTGAATGCTTTTTTTTTTTTTTTTTTTTTGCATTTCTGAGTCTTATTTTTCAAATTTGTAAAATGGGGACTGTAGCTATCTCATAGGTTTTATTTTGTTACATAACTTTATAATAATGTAAATGAAATACTTGGCACAACAGCTGGCCTTTACTATATATTCAGTAATTCTTGGTTGCTGTCACGTTCACGTTCATGTTATTTCTATAATTAATTCTATTTCTGATAACCTAATACTTCTATTACATGACTGAAAAATATTTTCATACGGACCGGGGCACGAACCCGCGTCCCCTGCATCGGCAGGCGGACCCTCAACCACTGCGCCACAAGGGAAGCCCCACTGAAGGCTTTTTAATCAGGGAGGTGACAAAATCAGATCTATGTGCGGGAGAGGTTGGCTCGCAGGGAGAAGAGGTTAGAAACTAGCCATAATGTTCTTAGCTTCATCTGGGGCTCATCAAACCTTTAGAAAGGGCGACAGGCCAGCTCTGAAAGCTTCAGTGGAATGGCAGAGTCCTGGTTTGGGGACTGCATGTATCCGTGGCAATAAAACAGTTTGTCGAAGAGTACTTTCTCTCATCTTGAAATGTCAAAGTATTGATATAATTAGGGCATTCGTAGCAACTCTACTCACATTAATGTTTGAAGACCATACATTTCGAATCCATCCAGGGTCTCTCATTATTGGAATCTGGAAAACAAAAACATTAGAAATTACTTAATGGGAATGTTCTGTAATTAGTGGTAGCGATTGCACAACCTTGTGAATATACTAAAAACCTCTGAACCGTACACTTTAACATGGTGAATTTTATGGTGGGTGGATTATATCTCAATAAAAAAAGGAAATGCAGTAAGAATAAGCATTTGGTGAGGTTTTTTCTGAACACACTCAGAGTGTGAGGTCTCGGTAAGAACGGCACATCGTGGGGTCATAGGTCTCCGTCTCCCGCTTCTTTACTTCTCTGTGGCCTCCTCCTTCCCAGAGCACATGGACCTACTGGGGAGACGTCAGGAGATAAGGCAACATGGAAAAATGATGGGACTTGGAGTCCGAAGACGTGCGTTCACATGCTGCCTCTGCTGTTGCTTGGCTGTACGACTGCACAGGGCTAGTTTTCTTTGTAAAATGGGCATAACAACAACCCTGGAATGGATGGGTGTGTTGTGAGCATTCACTGAGTCTATTCCGGTGAAAGGGCAAAGCCTCATGCACAGATGAGCTGTTAAGACTGTTGGTATGAAATTATCCAAGCCAGTAGGACCTGCACAGTCTGCTTCTCCAACAGGGGCCCCCATTAGAGCTCCCAGCCTAAGAGATGTGATACGTTTTCATAGTCCTTAAACTATACTTAAGTTATCCTCAGAAACACATATGTTCTGGGACTTCCCTGGTGGCGCAGTGGTTAAGACTCTGTGCTTCCAATGCACGGGGCCCGGCTTTGACCCCTGGTCAGGGAACTAGATCGCACATGTGTGCTGCAACTAAGAGTTCACATGCCACAACTAAGGAGCCCATGGGCCACAACCAAGATGCAGCACAACCAAATAAATAAATAAATAAAGTAAAATTAAAAAAAAACATATATGTTCTGAGTGCAACTAAAGCAGCCCAGAATCAACAACCCTTGAAGCCCCTTACTCCTATTTCCCTCATCCTCTCATCCCCTTGCCCATCACCCTACCTGCTATTCATCGACGGCATTTAGCTTTTCCAACCCATGTTGTTGATTGGCAGATAATTACTGGTGTTGCTTTACCTGATGATTCATTTAGTTTCTCGCAGGGGCCAAGTGCTTTGCTAGGTAGTGGGAACACAGAGATGAGTAAAATAGAAATCCTGTCCTTGAGTCACGCGTGATCTAGTGGGGGGCAGGCAGGAAGACAAGTAGAAAAGGTTTTCATGGCCAGGACCACCACCAAGACATGCCCAGGGTCGGGTGGGAGCCCGGGAGAAAGGCAATAGTTTGCTTGAGGGAAATATAAGGAAGGTTCTGCGCCATCCACAGAAGGTGACGTCTGAGCTGCTTCTGAAGGATAAGTGGGGCTCTCGGAGGAGAGAGGAGGAGAAATTCCATTCCAAGCAGAGAAGAGGGTGTGTTCAAAGAAACAAAGGCACCACACATATGTTTGGGGAACAGCCAGGAGCGCCCAGGACTGGAGAATATCCCATCGTGTGCAAGTGATACAGAGCAGGCCAGGGATGGTCTGCAGTCACCAGACATGGGTAGAGTGGGGTCATTTAAAAAACAATTTCCTTTTTTTTAACAAATGCCCTCCTTAAACAAAACCTTTTGCAAAAGCCCGTATGTAAATAGAAGGGGAATGGGGCTTCCCTGGTGGTGCAGTGGTTGAGAATCTGCCTGCCAATGCAGGGGACACAGGTTCGAGCCCTAGTCTGGGAAGATCCCACATGCTGCGGAGCAACTAAGCCCGTGCGCCGCAACTACTGAGCCTGCGCGTCTGGAGCCTGTGCTCCACAACAAGAGAGGCCGCGACAGTGAGAGGCCCGCGCACCGCGACGAAGAGTGGCCCCCACTCGCCGCAACTGGAGAAAGCCCTCGCGCAGAAACGAAGACCCAACACACCCAAAAATAAAAATAAATAAATTAAAAAAAAAAATAGAAGGGGAATGCTGTGGTCATTTCAGGGAAGAGGCCTGGAGTCCCCAGGTTTGGTTGCAGAGCCCTGGCTTCAGAGAACACAGTTTGAGAACGGTGACTGTACACTGTGGGGAGCTGCCGAGGGGCAGGATGGTCAGGCCTGTGTTTTACAGGATCACTCTGACATCTGTGTTTTGGATGCAGAGAAGCAAATTGAAAGGCTTTTTTTTTTTTTCCCTTAGCCACGTAGCTTGTGGGATCTTAGTTCCCCAACCAGGGATTCAACCCCCAAGCCCTCAGCAGTGAAAGCACGGAGTCCTAACCACTGGACGGCCGTGGAATTCCCTTTTTTTTTTTCTTTGAAGGCTATTCTAGCGAAGCGTGGCCAGGGTGTGGAGGAAGGTGGTGACAGTGTGGGGGAAGAGGAAAGGGCGGCTGTGAGCGCTGCCTAGTGGGAGGGGCCCCAAGGCTTAGTGATTGGCTTGGACCGTCAGGTGGGTGAAGAGGCGGGAGATTTTGAGGATGACTGAAGTTTCTGGCCTGGGTGACTTGGTAGATGATGGTATCACTAAGCATCAACCAATGAGGAAAACTGAAAGGATAAATTTGGGGAGGACTCTTAGAGTATTCTGGAACATCTGTAATAAAAAGAATAGATTTTCCTCTAAGACAGAACCCGGGAAAGAAGGTAGATGTGAGTTAAGGAATTCTATTCAAGTCCAGATCCTGGTAGGGAGAGTGGGCAAGGCGATTGTTTTCTGCATCTATAAATTGCTTAATACAGTAATTATTTCAGTCCTGGTTTCAACCAATCAGTGCATTTGAAACACTTCTGGAAGTCCAGTTACTACCTTCATTTTAGCTCCTCTAGAGTATTACAGCATTCTGCAAAAAAATCATGCCACTTGGGTACAGATGCTCTGAACCACCCAACTCAAATTCCTCATGGGACACAAACATAGTCGCATGTCCGCCAGCACTCGCTGGGTACAATAGTTGCACTGATTTTACACTCACGAGGTAGGCTAGGAAGGCTGGCAGCAGTTTAAATTCACAATGCTTGGATTTGGTCCCAATTAAAAATGAAGTTTCAAATCAAATACCAAATATATTTTTTGCTGCCATGGAGCAATGACTCTGAGCCCCCAGAAATTTGCTTTGATTTCAGAGATTAAAAATAAACACAAGAACACCAAAAATGGTGAACCCGTGTATTTCAACAGTCATTTCTCTCAAAGCTAAGAAGAAAATAATCTCATTCCACCCCACAGCTATTTGTCTGTTGTCATTCAAAATTCTAATGCAAAATTTGAAGCCCAACCTTTGGTGTCTGGGCACCAAGCAGTTAGCAACCATAGCCAAAAACGAATTCGGGTTTGAACCCCCATTCTCCCAATAAGAGCTGTATGGCCTTTAGCAAGGAATTTAACTTCCTAAGCCTCAATCTTCTCATCTGTAAAAGGAAGAGAAAAATAAAATAGTTCTGGAGGTAAGAATGAAAAGATATAATACTGTGTAAAACAATAGTGCACAAATTTTAATTGCTGACCCTGGATGATGACAACACGGAAGTCTCAATGTCAGGAACAGGTGAGCATCTTCTGAACAGCTGGTTTGCTTTCACCTTATTTATACCATGAAATGTGTAATTGCTCAGGTCTTTCCTGAGACATTGGGGGCCAGAGCCACACTTCTGCTCTACTCCTTATAAATGAGCCAGACTCTATGAAATGCATGTTTGTGTTAGCCTCATTCTTGGCTCTATTTTCTGCCTCTACCTCTTTTTTTCTTTTATTCCTCACTTAATTTAGACATATGTAACTGCTATGAACTGAATGTCTGTGTCCCTCCCAAATTCATATTTGAAGCCCTAATCCCCAGTGTGATGGTACATGGAGGTGGGGCCTCTGAGAGGTAATAAGGTCATACGGGTGGAGTCCTTGTGATGGAATTAGTGACTTTAAAAGAAGAGATAGGAGAGAAATGAGCTCTCCCTCTGCCACGTAAAGATACATCACGGAGGTGGCCGCCTACAAGCTGAGGGCGGGGTGGGGGGGTCCCACCAGAACTGAGCTGTACTTTGCACCCACACCTTCTTTAACCTCCAGAACTATGAGACATAAATTTCTGTTGTTTAAGCCACCCAGTCTGTGGTAGTTTTGTTATAACAGCCTCAGCCAATCAAGACAGAAATTCTGCTGTGTTTTGAACCATGTTTTGTCCTTCGATAAATACAGTAATGGACACATAGATGATAGACAGACAGATACAGAAAAATGAAAAAATGGTTGGAGAATGGATCTAGTAAATGTAGATAGGATAATAGATAGGAGACAGATAGACACTTTCCTCTTGTCTTTTCCTTTATGCTGTGTTGAGTTGCTCATTCACTTGACTATATTAATCATTATGGGGTGTAGGGCAGTTGAAATTCCTGGTCAGGGCCACTGCCACCTATAAGTAGAATAATACTGAACCACTGACTCACCCTCTCTGAGCTTCCGTTTCCTCTTCTAAAGAACCCACATGACACTACCCACCTCGGGGCTGCTGTGGGAATTAAGTGAGAGATGTACTTGAAAGTGACCAGCACATGGTAGGTGCTCAATGAAGGTGAATTTGAATCTCAATGGCAGCCTGATGAAGATCAAAGTCCAGGACACAGTCTCCTGTGTTCCTCGTAGGCCCTTGCTCACTGCTACACCTTTGCCCGTGATTTGCTGGAGGTCACGTATACGGGCCTAAATCCAAATTCAAATTCAGGTCTGCGTGACTCCAAAGCTCTTGCTGCCGTTTCACTGATGGAGAAACATTTGGACCGCAGAATTCCCACCACACAGAAGGAGAAAGAGGGAGACTTCAGAGAGAAAGTCTTCCAGATCATCAGGCCTTAAGTCCACAGTGATAGGCCAGGCACGTCCGAGTTTACACATTCTAAAGTTCATTTGTTCATCTGAACTTCTTTTTAAATAGAGTAACATTTTCGCATAGAAAGAGTTCCATCCAAGTGAGTTCGTTTTTCCAGGGGAGGAAAGGCAGAGGAAGCCATAGCCTAGATGAACTGAAGCAATGCTGAGCTGTACAACCA